CTCCTCTAATGCCCGCATATTTCGCGACACGTCGCGAGGAGAGACAGCGACTCGACTCGCGTTGCGCGCAATATTTCTTGCGCGCGACGTTTCATGCATACGGCATCGATGACGATTTTTCAACGGAGCAACTTCCTGGTCGCCTCACCGACAGATTGTTATACTTGCACCTCGTACGTTTATCGCGAATGATGAAATGGAATAATTGAAATATTTATAAGCAAACTAACACAAACGTTTTTATTTTATCATCGCCTCCCAATTTAAAAGCTATTTTAAAGGAATTGTGGCTATGATTCTATTGTTTATTTTAAATTCGTCAAATAGCTCTCGATAAATTTTAAATATATAATAATTGACGATGGTATTTTGGTATCTACTATTTAATATCAAAAATATTCGTGCTGAAAGTTCTATAACGGATAGCCACAAGAAACGCTTCGTTATTATTTTCCATTTTCCATTTGTAGTATGTGCATTAAAATTGCACTCATCGTCATTGAATCTTAATTTATGTACATAATTATACGTATATTACTGCACGCAAGGAAATTTATCGTGAAGCGCGTAATAAATGATTTCTTCATTTAATCACGCAAAAAGTAAGAAAATTAATTTAGACTTGCGAATTAAAAAATGTTTATCGACAACATAATAACAGACCCAAATTTTAGAAAATTATTATTAAAAGATATATTTAAAAGTGAAAAAAAAAAATAATATATATATATATATATATATACATATATATATATAAATCGCGTATAAATAATATAAAAAGTTTCTCCATTTAGTCACAAATGCGCGAATTAAGACTTGTGTATAATAAAATCCAATCAACAACGTAGAAATAAACCATACCTTTGAGAAATAATTATCATGGCAAAATAAAAGAGAATATATTTTATATATATATTTGAAAGGCTACTTAAATAGTGACAGTAATATAATGAGCATAAAACAGGCTTAAATAGCACAGTAATAATAAACATGAAATAAAAACATGCATTCTCTGCGAAAAGAGAAAGACTCTCTGACAAAATAATAAAAAATGCTTGCCAGACAATATTAATGAGCTTAAGATTCCGCGTTGCTTAAAGTTCCGGTATTGAAAGTGAAGAAATTTCATCATGTTTTTAAAAACGCGATTCCGCTGGCAGCGGTCAAGGCCGACCTCGATTTTCAACGAAAGCGAGGGAGATAGAGGATGTGGACGACCCGCGACCTTTCGGCGGAGAAATTTCGAATAAGCGTGCGCGAACACTACACGTTAAGAACGAACGTTCGATTGCTTTGAACGGGCGAGTCTTACGGCACGACTCTCCCGACGAAGGAAATCGGCGAAGGACGAGCGCGTGTGGAGGAGAAAGTCTTTGTCGGACTAGCTGGGGCACGCTCGATGTCAGCTGACGAAGGCCGCCAAAGACGAAACGTTGACAAATCATAATATAACGTAATAATACCGAAAGGTCGCAGAGTGCGACAAGAAATTTATCCCGTTTTCCCGTCGCGCGCGTTTCCGCATTCTCCGTAATTAAAACAAGCGACGAAATACACATTGGAAATGTGGAGGAAAGAACGGGCTCTCGGAGAGTGCAGCAAAGTGCAGCTAATAGAAATCACAACTACACTTCCCTGCTTACGTAAGAAATGTGGAAGTGACCTTGGAATTGGAGTTCGGCGTTCCCAGATCCTAAGCACATGACAACGCTTTTATTCGTTTTTATGTAAGAACGTCATAGTCGTAGTCGTAGTCAATAGTCATAGTCGATTCTCTCTCTCTCTCTCTTATGTTTAAGATCGTTTAAGACCATATTCCACCCAATAAAATGACCATATAAGCTTTACTTACGACAGTCTTAAATATAAGGATGGACTATGAATATCGGCTGAAATTAATAATGACGATGATATTAGTGACACTGGATGCGGATCGGGAGAGGGAGAGAACGGAGTGAAGCGACGCGAGTGACGGGGCGGAGGGTTATATCGCGCGAGTGGAACGGCGGCTAACGTCGCGTCAAAGGTGACGTCCGGTGACCCCGATGTGCATCGCGTGATTTTTACGCGTAGATCTTGCCGGGACTTACCTGATGCGACGGATGTCTGTTTCCACGTAATCGAAGACTGGTCTCCGAGAGAGAAGAGCGAGTCCACTATGAGAGAATACAAGTGTCACCACCGCTTCGAGCGCGCATGAAAAATCACAGGGGGTTTCTATTATCTCTCGACGATGCACCGCGGCATGTTCCTCTTCCGGCACGACACGCGGCGAACACCCTTCTTGACGTCGGAAAAGTCGCGGTCAAACTTCCGTCGTAGTGCGTAGAAAACAGATGTAAAAGACGGCGTGATCGGAAGACACTCGCGCAAACGGAAGAAGAGAGAGATGTGACGAAAGAGAAAAAGAGAGAGAGAAGAAGACGCGGCCGAATTTCCTGTCCCGACCGAACAGTCACCCGATCGCGAGCGCGTCCCGTACCGCCGCCACTGGATGTAGCACACCGAACGTAGGCACCGCGCACACTGACTGCTCTCGCCGTTCACCAAGGCGATAAACAAACTCACCACCCGCCTCTCTCCCTTCCCGCGACACGACTACGCGCACGATCACTCTCTCACTCGGGCTCGGTGGCTCTCGCTCCCACTCCGTCCGACTCATCCCCACTCCCGCGGTCCTCTCGTCACACTGTAGCGCGCGCACACGCTTCGTCTCGCTTTATCCCCCCTCTCTCCCCGCAGCGCCGTCTGTTCTCCGCGAACAGCACTGTTGTCCTCTTTGTACTGCGCGCTTTGTTGATTTCAAGGAATTCCGACTATTACCAAATCGAAGAGTTGTTTTGATCGCTCCTTGATTTTCAATAAAGACGCACGCACGGCACATCGGGTATACGAATGTTATTTTGCTATTTCCTGATTGAGAAAACAGACTTACATACGTAATAGAATACAGAATGATATTTCGATTCATATAATGTCTCGAATTTCACACATTGAATCGCGGCCCGAAGTACGCGCGTTCCCGTTGGCGACATCTCTCAGGGATAAAGCTCAAGCAACAAGTCGGATGAAGAGTAATGAATAATATTTTATCCGTCCAGTTTGAGTTCACGTTACGCCACCAGATGTCAGAAATCGCGCATCGCAAAAACCGATATGATAATACAGAATTTTCCAGATCTTTTGCCAGATTCAAATCTTTCAATATATCTCTTTCCCATTATTAAAAATCAATTTAAATCATTTTAAAAATTTCTCTCTATTTCAAAAAACATCATCATTTATTCTTGTTAAATTTTATTTCAAAGGTAAATATGGTAGAATATTTAGTAAGCGCGCTTTGAGGTTCCATTTTCAATTATAGTAATGAATATGTGAATTACATAATCATAATTTATTTCCACAAAAATATATTTAGTATAATATCCGCGAATTTAAATTTATTTTAGAAGATAAAACAAGCTCTACATGTTAGTTTAAAACTCAAATGCTTCGTCGGTAATATCGCAATTGCAAATATAACACGAGTTTAGTCAATACAAAATGTCCATGAAACCAATGTAGATTGATTTCGGTTTAATTTATTTTTTTATGCTTTTCATAGTTAAGAAAAAGAGTAAATTACTAAATCGAGAATAAAATTATTAGATATTAATAGAAATAGACAATAAAGATAGTTACCTTGTTCACGAGAAGTCGAATCTCGAACGAAAAAAAATTATCCAATAGCCACTATGATTGATCAATATTTTCTCCGTTCGAGATTACGGATCGATTTCTAGAATCGATTTCTAGCCACGAGATTTTATATAGCATGATGAGATATTATTCAATTCATGCGAAATAAAGAAATGATAATTATACAATTCAAAGTTATAAATATTTAGCAATGATTTCATATTTTCAATGCACCACGGGAAAATAATTTCTTAAAGCAGCCAATCATAATGATTAAATCCATGTGTTCGATAATTACATTTTTTGCGTTTAAAATATTTTCTTCGTGGTACGAAAAAATTTATAAACAGTTGATTGACAGAGAATTTTGGAAACCTGAATATATTCACTATTGTATAAAAATCAATATGTACAAGAAATTTGTCATAAATAAAGTATTATTCTTATATATATTTAATTTAAAAAAAGATAAAAGAAAAAGAAATATGAAATAACATACCTATATGAACACCGTTGTTATTTCGCGTGGAAACGAAAATGATCAAACAGTGAATTATATAAAAGTAATCGATAATGGCATAGATATATGTACTTGATAATAATTTATGTATTTGCGGCATTTCCGATTCTTCAGTGAGAAAATAATGCAAAATATATGAGAAGGACTTTACCATTAAAAGCGAATCGCCATTATCGAGATTATAATAATAGCGACTTGAAATACCTGAAATATTATGATATTTGATATTTTACGATCAATATTTGACACTTTTCGAAAAACACTCGTTATGTTCGCACGTATAAAATTAAATAAAAATAATTTTTAAAAATATAAAGCTATTTTCAGGTGTGATCTTTTTTACTGGAACGGTTCGATTAATGAATGCGATTCGAAATCGGACGAAAATCATATTGCCATTCTCGAAATATCTAAATGAAATTATACTGTATTTTTATATGAAAAGAAAACTTTGAAGAAAAAATATAACATTTTTATAGATGTTAAAGATATTATTAAGAAAATCAAAATATTAAATTAATTGTAATTTGATATCTGTTTTCTGATATTGAAAATAATTAATATGTTGAATCGAATATTAAAAATTGCATAAATTTTAACAAAACTGATATGAAATGTTATATAAAATAGAAAAAAAAATTTTTTTCTTCAATTTGCTTTACAATCGATGATTATTTCAATATTTTGTAAGCGATAATATTTTGTAACTATATTTCTTTGTTATCATTCGTATTCTTGTATTGATTTCTTGTTTCCTACCTCGGCTACGAGTTTGTTCTCAATTTCTCCGCTTGTCGTCGACAGCGTCGCGTGAAGCCTCGCCAGTTTTCCTATCTTCCTTTTAGATCGATCCGTGTCTTTTTCCGGTAATCGAGTCAAGATGGTGCGTATATCGTAACGTGTTTTAATTTTAATTCGCGAAAAATCAAAGAAATCCATGAGAAATCATCAATGAATAACGCGCACTCGTTTTATAGATCTTTTATTTTAACCGAAAGTGCTAATATTAATCGACTAAGCGCCGTCGTGACAATGTGTTGAATCTAGCTTAGATATTAGGTTATGTTCGAATTTTGGCAGTGCGATTCACAACAATTATATAGGATAAGCCGTGCTACATTGAATTATTGATTCATATTGCCTTTCCACAATTTGCAGAGTCGCGTCAGAACGAAGACGGTCAAAAAGGCCGCGAAGCTTATTATCGAGAAGTATTATCCACGTCTCACCTTGGACTTCCACACGAACAAGAGAATATGCGAGGAAATTGCTATTATTCCTAGCAAATCCTTGCGCAATAAAATTGCTGGGTAAGTGCATCGCAATATTTTAATCCTAATTTCTCAAAATTCATTTTGTTTTACCAAATACTCAAATTTTAATAAATGAAATTAATGTAACATGATTATTTTGATTATAATATATTTGTTACAATAATTGTGTTTACAATTATTGTACCTCTACGAGGTAGAATAGGTTAATTTGTAACTTTTATATTATATCTATTATATCTCTATATCTATTTAATTATAATTTTCAAAGCTATGTTTATAATTATATTTTAATCATTGTTAGATTTGTCACTCACCTGATGAAAAGGCTTAGGCACAGTCAGGTACGTGGTATCTCCATCAAGCTGCAGGAAGAAGAGAGGGAACGCAGAGACAACTACGTTCCCGAAGTTTCTGCTTTGGAGCATGACATCATTGAGGTTGATCCTGAGACCAAGGAGATGTTGAAGATGCTTGAATTCAACAACATTACTGGACTCCAACTCACACAGCCTGTCCCACAATTTAGCAGACGTTCTTAAAAATCGTTCCCTACATTACTAAGAAAATGGTTGGTCTTGCACTTTTCAAATAAAGTTGCGAACTAACACTCACGATACGTGTGCTACTTATTGTTATTCAGTATTTTTTTCTTATATAAATTGATCATTAACAATTCCTAATATTCCGACTAGTCGACTAGTAACTTGAGCCGTCTGTTCCAAGTTTTCGAAAAAAAAATATTCAAAACTGAGTGCAATTTTAATTTGACAAAGAAATAGTTTTATCCATTAAATATTTTCAATAATGTACCAAAAATCGAAAACGATACGATTTAGAAATGCATTGAGGAAAAAAAATGGATTGAGGAAACAACGGCGCGCGTGCGCTCAATCCGCCATTTTAATCGCACTGGAAATGCGTGCGATGATCATCCATTTCACATCGTAAAGTCAAGTACATTCCGAGCAAAAAAACGCCTGTTCTCGTCTGCGATTGCTAAGTGAAGCATAATCATCGCCGTGCAGAATCCCTCGTAATCCTACGATTTGTAGATCTCCGCGCACATACACATACAAACGTACGAATACTCTCATTGCGGCACGTGTGCGCCAATGTCAGGATCACCGCCATCGTCAATTGCCTCGCCTCAATTTGTCCAAGTCGAGTGTAGTTTTTGTTGTTTTTCTCGTTTCGCCAATCGCGTTTCTCGATGTGTCGACCAGTGTTTAGCCGCTTCCAAGTCTTTGATATCGTCGACGTTTTAAAGAACTGGTTCTAGTCGCGTTATTTCTCACGCGACGAACGCTGTATCGAGGAGAGGGACAGGAGGGTTACGACTACATCCCTGGTTCGTTGCATCGGTCAGGCCAGGTGCAGCTCGAACGTTTCTCGGCACTCGAGCAAGCCTGGTCACGATGCAGGGATTCGCTCGTCTCTTTCTCTCTCTCTCTTTCTCTCGGTGATCTGATTCTCTAACAATGCGCTCTATGCAGGGAGGTGGGAGACCGCGATGCATCTACGGCAAGCGTTAACGTCGACGAAATCGAGTTCTCGGTTCGCGCGCAGTCGCGAAACGGTTCGGTATCGACAGGGAGACTCCGCTTCTCTCCGAAAACGTTCTATCGTGCGTTGTATTTTCGTCCAACGGAGGGTGCATCCGTCGTTGATACGCATGCTATACGTAAATATCTCGATCGGTGGAGGGCGACGCCGTGCTCGCGCGTCAGTAAACCCCGTAAATCACGTTCCGCGCGTTGCCACTCGTCATCCCGCGTGCAGCAATTTTACGGGATCGATCCGAATCGCGGCGAGACGGCGAGACGGCGGTGGCGCGGTATAAATTCGGTGACGCTCGATAAATTCGCGTTCGCGAGAACGGGAAAGCGTTCGCGTCCTCGACATGGAACCGGCCCTGATCGGTCGGAGCAGCCGCGAGCTGCACGCGCGACCCTAGTCCTAGCGATCCAAGGCTAGAAACCTAGCGCAACCTCGTTTGGCGGAGAGAGAAAGAGAGAGAGAGAGAGAGCGGAAGAAAGAGCGCGACAGTCCCAGCCGTGGGAAAGAGAGAGCGCTAGAATCGGGGGCGAGAAAATGGCGACGAGAGAACGGGGCGCGCTTCGCGGGTCGCTTGGGGGACAGGAGGACTGAGGAGAAGAGAGAAGAGAGAAGAGAGAGAGACAGAGTCCGCACACCGCTGGCGAGAGTCAGTCGACTATTAGTGGTCTGTGACTCTGGAGGTGGGCCGACCACCGGCAGAACCGAGCTCTACGTAGCTCGGTCGCGCTCGGTCGGCAGTCGGGCCCAGTCGGCCGCACCGCCGTTCTCCTCGCACTCGTTTGTTCGCTCGCTCGCCCGTTCACTCGCTCGCTCACTCACTCGTTCGCTCGCTCGTCTGTCTGCTCGTTCGTTCGCTCGCTCGCTCGCTTGCTCTCGCGCTGCGCGAGAGCCGCCTCTCAGTAAGTCGTACGCCGCGCAACGGGAGCGACGGTCGTCGTCACGCGCGCGTCCTCCCCCTCTCCCTTCCCCCACGCGTGTAATCTTACTTTTTCTCCTTTCATTAAAGGCGACGTAACAGTGTCCTCGCTACTACCGCGCTATGTGACGGATATCACGGGGCACCGCAGCGCGTGTACCCCGCCTCTACCACGTACCCGTTCTCTACGTGCCGGAGAATTTACCCCATCGAGTCGTACCCCTCGCCCTTTACCGAGAGACCTACCCTACCTCCCTCCTCTACCTCCTCTCCCATCGCCACCTCCCCTCTCGTCCCTGCTCTTCCCCCTTAGCCGATCCTCGTCCACCGCCCCGTCGTGGAAAAAGAGAAAGACGGACTACCTCGTGAACACTCGTACGACAACGACGACGGCGACGACGGCGACGACGGCGACGAGAACGACGAGGTGGCCACGCGGACCTCGTGAAAAAGCGTGCCTGGAGAAAACATGGAGTGTCCGCATCTTGCTCAGAGCGTGCGATTTGGCGATGACAACGTAGATGGATCGGGCTGTGCTGTGAAGGATCTGCCGTTCGTCTGCGCAGGTAGGGACTCGTACAAAGCCCCGAGAGTGCCTTCTACCGATTTCAAGCTAGCTCGAGCGAGACGGAGAGAGAAAAGGAAAAAGAGAGAAACACGTTAGAATGATAGAGATGGATGGATAGACGGATAGGGGAGCCGGCTCGTCTCTCTCGGAACCCAAGTCTCTCCTCGCTGTTGCCTCTCTTTCCCCTTTCCTTCCTTCGCTCGAGCCTGTCTCTCCGTTTTGCTCTCCTCTTCCTCTCGCGAATCTGCACGACGATCGGACGCGCGCACACATGCACACACGCGACATGCTCTCTCTTTCTCTGCTTTCTCTCTCTCTCTCTCTCTCTCCTCCTTCCTTCCTCTCTCTCTCC